CACTACATCAAGAGCGCCGATCTCTCTGCCTTCTCCCAGTATCCCTCTGAAGTGCTCATCTATTACAAGTGCGTCTGAAAACACAAACACATGTTCAGCTCATGAAGACGAGACACGAGCAGGATCCAGAGCGTCACACGTGTGTCTGTCTGTGTTTCAGCTACTCGATGATCGACAGATCTCTGTGCCGCTCGTATTTCTCGTCTCTGGGAGCGGCCGACTTCTCCGTCCTGTCCAGCACACTGTCCTTCAAGAAGCAGACGCTCTTCAACCATGCCAGGGGCTGTCTAGTAATGAAAACAAAGCTTTTATATTCTTTATGCACTCAAAAAACATTTGGGCCTGTATTTGAAATGCATGTACAATACATCAATGAAGCGGGTCAGATTTCTGCACTCAAAACATCAGGAGATAGTTCATTATTAACTACTTGATTTTATTTAAAGAATTGCTTTGAGTCAGCATAAATCTGTTCATTGTAAAGAAAAAAATAATAATTTGGTAAAAAAGCTGTGGAACAAGCAATATTCAGTTTATGATGCGGTTTCATTAGTTATTGTGTTATTGTGTATTCAAAACACATTTTATCACAGTTTATTAGTACAGAAATCCGATCTGTTTTATTTATGAATGACTCTGGTTTATCGTCAGCTAAAACACAAATTTAAACGAAACCCATTAAACAAAGAAACCAAAATAAAACATTATATATATATATATACAGTATATATATATTAAAAATACACTTATTTCAGCTAGTTGCCATGACATCACTTCTCATTTTCTTCTAGTTTACCTTGAAGTACTAAAATAACTATAAATATATTTAATAAGCTAATAAGTAAATGACTGAAACATTCAAATTAAAATGAAATCAAAATATCAAAAGTATATCAATGATACTGAAACACTTGCGTGACTGACAAATATGCATCACAAAGTTTATTAGTTTTTGTTGTTGAAACTGTAATTCAAATGAACGGAAGTTTATATGCAATTCAAATATATGAATCTGACGATCTGACAATATGAATATGACAAAAAGAAAACTGATTAGATGAAATGTTTTTCAGGATGATGGAAGCGTTGGTCTGGTGGAGTTTGACAGATGTCGCTGTGGTCTGTGTTTCAGGGCATCTCAGGCGTCAGCATCAGTCGGGATCAGCTGGATGTTTTGGGCAGCATGAGCTGTTTTCTGAGCAGCGA